TAATGCCTGGAAGGTGGGCGTGACGGAGTTCCTGAAATCGATTCCATCTCTCCACAGAGATCAGCGATTCAGTGTGTGAAACGAACCACTGAATGCACAGACGTGTTGGTTTCGTGTGGTACTTTTGACCTTACACACGTAGAGTGATTGTGTTGGTAGTAGCAACTGGGATCTTGCTAGAAGCGGAGGTCTTTAATTGGTTTTTGCAAGGCTAGTTGAAGCATCGAAAGAGATTGTCAATAATTTGATAACTCCAGTCATTGTAGAAAGTCAAAAGCAGATGAACCTAGCAGTTGTTGACAAGCGAAGCTATGCTAAGTGAACAATTGAACTCTGCGAATGGGAGTTGTTTATTCGGATGTGACAGATCCAGTCAAATAGCGCCTTGTTGGAGGACACGTCTTTGGGTGATGTGGACCCTTAACAAGTCCATTTAAAGAAAAAAAGTGTTGCGTGTTTTGAAATATTCCGATTTCCTGTGGGTCCAACCTTTGCGACAGCGCAACATGCAGCACCGTCGTCTTCGTCATGCTATCAGTTTAACATGTCTCTATGCATCTCATAAAATATTATGTTGAAATCACTGTCTACTACCTAAAATTGGCTAGGAAGTTCAATGGATACCGGTATTTCTAAAACGGCTGATTGGGTATACCTGTTTCCTGTTTATTTAAACAAATTGTTCAACTCCTCTTTCTCTGCCCTAGAGACTATTCAGCGGTAGTTTAGTTTCGTTGAAGCCACATGGACATGATGTTTTTCAAAGCAACCCAATCACTAGTCTATGTTTTGTCCACAAATCAAATCCTACAATTTCTCTGCAATTCAACTTCTTACGAGAACAATGCTTAATAGGGTCGGAGAAATCTAGCTATAGTCATTTTCCTCTAATCGAACATGCCTAATGACTAGCTGCATGTCAAAGTTGCTAATTGACTGGAACACGAGATAATCTTTGTGAATTCCGATTTGCTAGAAAGTTTGGCGAGTAGAAGTCGAACTTTAGTATAAGCCAATGTTGGTTTAACCTGTGTGACGAATGGTCTAACTGAGTTATTTGATAGATACATGTCAGCTGAGTCTGTCTAACGTTGACCATCTACATTTGAAGCCCCAGAAGCCTTCCACTTACACGACTAGAAAAAATAAACCTTGTAAGAACTTGGTTGCAGAATCTCCTGCCCAACCTAGAGTTTATCGTTCACGATGTCATTTCTTGTCTACAAATTCTACTTAACAAAAGTTCTCATCATGATTGGTTGAATTATCTACCAGACAAGTGAAATGTCGAAGTCGATTATACCCTATTTGTGAAAGTCATAAACCAGTCGCCTAGGGTTTATGACAGTGTCTGAAAATTGTGTCCTATACAAGTGCTTCGATTTCGTGATGAGGTCAAGCGTTCCCACTTGTAGAAAACCAGTTTTCTGAGGTGGGAAAATGCATCTTCGTTGGACGTCGGGATATCCACCAAATTAATCTCGTTCAAGAAGATTTACTGTTTTGACCGACCACAACAGATAGCTAAACAATACGGACTGCGGATAGTGCACACATGTGAAAATGACTTGTCTCGTGGCAGTTGTAATTAAACGAAGGACTTTAGTACGAACCAATCACCTCTCATCACCATCATCTTTCCCCAATCCACAAGTGTGAATTTGGGTGTGCAACAGCAAGCGGTAATATACCATAACGCGTCGTGTAAAAACTCCAAAGTCCAGTCACGATTAGCAGAAAGCAAATCGATAACTTAATTCTGCGACAGAAAACCACCACATTTAAACAAAGCGACGTTTTACCCTTTCTATTTGGCAATTGCACGAAACTGACGCCAGTGTACTAACAGTTTAACTGCGATAAAGAGTTAGACATTACCTGTGATTTAACGTTTCACCCATTAACAATATATTTAAAGTGCTAAGTTGGCATAAATATATGATTATCAAAGCAGAGCATTTACTAATAGGGTGCACTTTACGTAGTTTTTTAAGCACAATTTTGGTTCTGGCACCAGAGAAATTTGTGTGCTGTAACACAACAGTATTCCGACATGTAAACATGACAAATGCGCTCACAAATTCTTATATCTGGAGTGTAATTTACCGACCATCAATAGTAGACATTTCATTTTGCTATTTTTCGGGGGGGGGCCCGGGTTGACCTATGACCCTTAGAGTGGGAAAACATTCGGACGGTCAATGATTTTAACGACCAGGGTTTCAGTAACTCAAAGTTCTTTAATTAATCAAAATTTGGCAAACCGATTTAGTGCGATATCAAGTTGTGCATGGAGATAAAATCTCCTTGTTTTTTTCAATAAGTTAGCTGTTAACAAGGGCGAATTTATAGCATTAACTGTTCACTGTGAAATTTAATGTCATGTGGGCTAAATGAAGTGGATTCAGTCGATCGCAGTTCAGGAAATAAAATTCGTCAAAAGAATTCTGCATCTTTCATGGCTTTCCATGCTTTCTATGAGCAGTTCAATAGCACTAACAATATAGCTATCTGATGTTTGACTAAAATTGCTCTTTAGGGAAATCGGACCAATGTAGGTGTTACTAAGCTGGTCGTGTATGCACGCAGCTGCCTTCTGATTGGTTCGATAAGTGAGTAGTCATTCAGAAGGCAATTAAGACCCCATACACTGAATTCCACTGATAGGACCGACAAGAATCAATGCAATAAACCCCACTAACGCCGACATCACTACGACCTCCACCAACATCACATCTGGCGCAATTAAAATGAGGTGCCCGAATCTAATTTTTATGGTCCAAACTCACCTCCAGAGTAGTCCATCTGACCCCTTTGAGAGCGAAACCCTGGCCCGTCTTCTTACGCTCATCACTCCTGTTAAATCCGACTACTTAACCTGTGATACCCCCTTGGTTTCTTGCATTTCTGCGTACATGCTACATGCTATCTGGCCGACTAGTTTGACTCAAGGTAACCAATTAAAATGGTCAGCAATTTTGTAGGTTACTTTCGAAAATTGAGCGTACAAACTACACGATGCATCCGAAAGAGAGGACATCTTGAAATGGAAGAATTTCCTAATTAGGCAGATGTCCAGAAGACAGTAAAATATGCCTCAGTGTGTGAGAAATGCTTTATGCTCAGGACTTTAATAATAACCTAGTGCAAAACATGGATTTGATCTCCGTGTGCTACTGTATATCCTGACTCGTGGTCTTAAACCGCCGTCTTGTTAAAATTGGCTAGATTAAGCCACACACACACCCGTAAAGATCAAGTGGACCGGAGATGGCGGAGATGCAATCGTTTACTAGACAGCTCAGCCTAGTTGTGTAAGTGCCGCGTTCTGTGGACAAAAAAGTACAAATTGAATAATAATGGGGTGAACGTGTTAAAAGTGCAAATGCACTTTACTCGCGATCAATACCGATAAAATAACCACGTTGTCGCAAAAAGTGCCGCCTACGACAACTCAACGCTCTTATTTCTGCCTTGTGTCTATTCCCATTCCCCACGCGCCTTGCGTAATCAGCACTCGACACAACCTCATTCCTGCTCTGTGTCCTAGATTCTAGACAAATGAGGCGTGTTTCCTTTCCGTGGACCACAACACCCTGTCTAATCTGCCCACCCATTGGCTAGTTGCTTGCTGGCAAGTGTCCATCATATACTGGCTTTCGCCATCGAAACAATCAACGTTGAAACGAGATGGCGAGAAGGCTTTTCTTGTCAAAATTCGGTTGAGTTGCAGTGCAAGAAATGATAGGAATCAGTCATGTTTTTCAGAACGCTGGCAGAATTCACGAATCCCATCTGCGATGGAAGACACGAATGGGTTATCTGACCACACTTCGATCGGACGAGGTATCCGGTGTAAATAGACGACAATCAGTCAGGGGTCAATATGAGGATGAGTCATTAACGGACTGTTCGACAGTTTCCACTGAAAGTACTTGAGTAACGATGTGGGTGGAGCTATGTCTTTGAGGTGATTGAGCCAGGCGAGGAGGCACAATCTTCAATTAAACCGTGCAATAACTCTCTCTTGTTGCTCACCAATGCTTTAACCTGTCCAAGGATGTTGTCATGGCGGATTGTATGCACTTACACCAGTTGCTACGCTGAGTCATAGACAGTCGCTTTGATTTCGAATAAAAATTATTTCATTAGCGAAATCTACACTACCCACAGCGGACTTTAACCCGGTGTGTACATTCCACGTCACAACTTGCTAGTTACTGCCATTCGTAAAACAATGCATACCATTCCATCTCAGCGCAATGCTTTGATGCAAAATAATTAGAAACCGAGCATAATTGGTAGAAATGAACCACCTTCCAATCGCGAGCTCATCGCTTGCATCTTGCCTTATTTTACGATGGTGAACAAATTGCATACCTCCACCTCATCTCACCAATCACGAGTTGAGGTGTAAACGGAACTGTCACGCATGAATTTTCTACCACTGTTTGCTCATGGAAATGTTTCAAGTGACGTTTAAATCTACAGGTCTAAGAAATGTGTCTTGCTGAACCTTATTTCGAAATTTAGGTTCCGTTTAAAATGTACAGCTAACAGGGTCGATGTTGTCATGGCAGCAACTGCAGGATGAGCTATGTGCCATTCGATGCTCAGTGACGTCATGGCGTGCGCTTCATTGTGTTACAAGATGGTAATTCTAGGAAAGGAATTACAGCAATTGATTGTTTCCTCTTCGTCTGACTACCTCCTGCCACCTTCCTCACCACCACCAGCATCCTCATGGAATATTGAGCCAAACTCAATTGAGGTAGTCATCACGGGTGGTTTGCGTATTCTCGATAATTTCCCAGGACCCATCACAAGTGTGTGTGAGAATTCGCATTGTCTTGGTGTGCCACGATCCACCTGCAAATCGACAATCTTGACCATGTTCACTGCATGCGCCATGATGCAGTTACATTGTCTACCCAATTTCAGTGTCTAACTTCAAAATCTTGAGCCTCGGTTCACGCTTGTCGTACCACGATGGTTCTGAGAGTCACTTTGGTGAAGTGGTGTCGCAGGATCAGTTCTCGGCACATGTTTTTAGTTATCCAGAACTGGCGAATGACGGTGGATGTTTGTACCGATGCCCAAAAGATCGTGTCCAAAATGAAGAAATGACGACGAATGCAATCAGCGACGTCTATGAGGATAGAGGACTCTTCCGGCTTATCCTTGGGCCAATGAATAATCCGTCTTTCAAGTAGTGTCAACTGGTGAAGGCATCTTGCGTTGCCTCTCGAAAGATGTAATCCTGAATAACCTGCCACAATTTTAAATTGGAACACGTCAATGGAAGCCTACCTTCTTTGGAGTTTTTAGCTCTACCAACAAAATTGGCAGTGACACGATGTGGAGGAGATCGTAGAGACCACTAGTGACTTTGTGGATGTGAATAAGTTGAAACTGCTGGAAATGAGTGGGTCTACGATAGCGAATTTTCATCAATATCACACCAAACCTATTCGATCTTGCGACATAGACATGCTCACACTTCTAGTGACCAGCAGGCTCTTCTTCTGATATCGGCTTCCTCGATTTAAGATTTTTCGAGTTGAACAGCTAATAGAACTGCAACATTGAATTAATTTTTTTACGCTATGCCTAGTAGGCGGCCTGATTTCTCCATCTATATAGGTTCAGTGGAGTAAGCAACTGACCAATGAGAGTTATCCTTTGTGTTCTGCAAGGTTCCTCATCACGTCAGATATGTCGAATTTGATGGTGATGTGTACGTGGGCCTCTGTGCGTGACTCATCACAGACAAATGCCGCTTCATAAAAACGGGAAGGATTTAACTGGAATTCGAACTATTTCTAAACACACACACAAACATGTGCAACCTTTTGAATCATTTGAAACTGTCTCTGTACTAACTCTTGGAATGTCCACCGATAAAATTTCACGGTCCAATTAAAGTAACAAGACCGCTAATTAGTCAGTTTTCTGATCTAAATTCTTGCGTGTAGTGAGACACGATAACCAGTAAACTGTCCCGTGGTATGTATTGGATACCTTGACCTTCCAGCTTTTACTGATTAAATTTTGTTTAAAAATGGGCAAAAATTGTACAACGGAGGCGGAATTTGTGTTGGCTTTTCGAATTTATCTTCTAACTTATTTTAAATTTCGCAGTTATGCTTCGAGTTTAAATCTTCCCCCTTCCGCAGTAACAGCGCATTAAAAGCAGGTGAATTTTTAATTTCGAGGCATAACATGAGATCGTGGCATACAAGCCACGTTGTGCGTGATTGGCTCAGTGCAGTGGTTATGTGAGGAATTAGACACGAACACACGTAAATAATTCATCTCGTAGGCGACTTCACATGTCATTTTACAATTTTTCAGCCTAAATTAATCTCAAAACTGACTGACAGTTTCGCTGAGACGGATGCTCTTGCTAATTCATAACTCACCAACTCACGCTGATTTCCCTTGAGTCAGTAATCAAATTTGGGGTGACTAAGAGGAAAGCACAAGTTTGTCGTAGGAAAAAGAGCAAACTTCCACAAATTACAAACATTGCTTATTAGTCAATGACACTGATTTAACCAATCGGCCAATTAGATCCAAGTTTTAGGTGTTTAAGAGGTTGATTTGAACTAGACGAGGTAGTTTTGTCGGAGCTAGATGTGGAAGGATATAAGGTTTGTTGGAACTCTTGACCTCTGAGATCAAATAAACAAATCTCTTGCCAGGTTAACAAGTGGTTCGCTTAAGTACTGATATGCACTACGGTTCAGTTAGACCCCTTTAGTAAATCGCAAAACTTCATCTAATTAAGATCATCATCTAGTGGACAACATGATGTCAATTCAAGGTCACTTCTGGGTAGATGGACATACTTGGTGCGTTCATGAGAGATTTGGTTTTGCAGACAACTTTGATCGACTGCAGAAGATGTGACCTTAGTGTTAAGTTTGTCCGTAACAAAAGAGAAGACCACTCAAATAACGGTTCCCGATCCCTTGCTGACGCTAGAATCTACCTTCCCACGGTAATACAAGAACAAGACCAGAGCTCGTGTCGAGAGCTTTATTCACTTCAGCCACGTGCAGAGAAGTCAAGTATCGAAAGTGAAAACGAAACTAATTCAAGTCAGGGTTGACCTTGACTTGATGAAACGCGTAACAAAACACATGCTAGTGAATTAGTGTAAATAGCACCAGAAACCAACGACGAGCAGTCTTGGGGAATCGTGGATCCCCAACACTTAGACATTTGAACTCTGAGAAATCCTGTGAGCAGATAATGTACGCCTTTTGTGTGTACCGACGAGTGCTCAGACAGGTCGAATGGTTTTAGAAAACCAGGAAGCAAAGCCACAGACCTGTTCAACCAGGAATTGCAATGTACGTGCGTGTATTAACTTCGTTTATTTAACCAAAATGCATTCGTTTCCGTTAGAATGCATGCTGTGTGAGAGCGAAAAATTAGACACCGTGGCCTTGAATCAGGTCTCAACGATGGGTGGTCACACAGTACCGTCAATTGGGTAGTCAGCTAGCGGAGTTTTCCGCAAAAAAGACTTTTTTTAGCATTTAAGATAATTTTTAGGGTGTTTTTAAACCAAATTGCACCCACACAAGCATTAATGCCTAGTTCGAAATCAATCTACTTTGCAGGCACACCCACCACTCTCTCATTCGTGAGTTTTGACTCAAAATAACCACTTTCAGGAAGGGTTGCTAAGCTGCAAACTAATTCACATCTTCATGTGTTCTTTAGAAAACCCACCTTTACACGCACGTGTGTGTCAGTGTACAAGAATGAGGCTGACTCAAATCCCTCGGTCACACTGTCAAAGTTGCCTTGAATTTTGGGGAAAAATCATGAATAGTTTGCATACATCAAAAAAAGGGTATTTGATTTAACAGGAGAGGGCTAAAGTTTTGTGGAGAAGAAGCTGTCCAGTTGTTGATGATTCAACGTGTTGACTGAACGCCTGACTGGTGATTGATGTGCTGCCAGCAGCTTGGCAATGAGATGCGAATTCGCTAGGCAGGCGACACTTTCGCCACGCAGTTGAAGTTGGGTGGGGCGAGTGACAGATGACCATTCGCATGCGAAAATTGGCAATTTGGGGGGATGAACTGAAGCATAGCTGGACTACTCGCAAGTGATGTCACGTGATGACACTTGTGGGCAATGCAATTAATTGGAACTGTGGACGATGAGGAGTGGGGTGAAGGGATGTATTTTACATCGACAACACCGGGCTACGCACTCCTTTGTGCAGACTAAGGCACAAATCAGTTTTGCGATGTGGGTGGGCAGTGTTTGGGGCGTGGCCAGAGAGTCTGCAGCATCAGGCTTCAAAATTTACTGGGCCACAAATCCTGACAAATTGACAGGACGACATTCGACGGGTTTACTATTAACCTGTTGTTGCCTTGAATCGCTTTTTGTGGTGTCTGTTACAAAACCTATTTTGTTGTTTAACCATGCTATCACAAAATCTTGGCAGAAATTTGATTTGTCGATCGCTAGAGCGCCAAATTTGGCTTTGTTGGCCAAGTTTTCATTTTACGCGCTGCTTTTGACCTGTTGTGAATCGTGTTTATTCACAGGGTTCTCCTTGTCACAACATATCGCCAGCTGTGAGGATCCTCAACTCCCTCCTCATTCCCACGAAAGTGTACCTTGAACCATCCTCATACTTTGGTCTCGATGTTAACACATCTAGGACTCACGCATCTGAGGTACAAATACACACGCACAAATGGCACCCACGACACTGCGACACCAACGTGGTTGAGTTCTGAAGTAAGTGGTTATGTCCACGTCAGCTCTGGCCTTTTTCTTCATCGCGGGTATCAGGGAAGCGTAATCGGGCCAAAGTTAATTTAGTGGCCCGTAGTTGACAAATTCACCAAGTTTTCTCACAATCACACCTTTCTTGGCAAAACTAAACATTGACTTAAACTGAGCTGATAATTTAATCTGCCTTAACTTATCGATTTTAGTTTGGGTTGACAAATCTTTTTACACAAAGAGGAGATTCTGTCCTGTTAAGAAAAAAAAAATTCTGTAACAAGGGAGATCGACAAACTGTATTTTATTCGTGGTTGAATTTTAAAGAGAAGTAGTGGAACTGTGTGCTAATCGAGAGCAGTTGAATGCGCAGATCTGGGGATTTGCGATCAAGTCCCAATCTTACATTACAGCCCTCTAATGGAGTGAAGAGAGGCGAAAGAGGACACGACGGTTTATTGGCGTCACGCCAATAAGTATATGTTTGTGTGTTTGGTGTGATATTGATGAAAATTCGCTATCGTAGACCCACTCATTTCCAGCAGTTTCAACTTATTCACATCCACAAAG